CTTTCACTTTAATTTGAGCCTGAGGTTGCACTGAATAATAGTTATTTTCCCATGAAAGTAAGATTTTATTTCAGACTGATGTTGGGAGTAGGGATAGGGAATCATAAATTGTTGTCACATGAAATCAGGATACCACTGGCCTTCTGAATTTTTTTTTTTCCATTTTCCTGCCATACGCATTCATCTGTGATTTTTACCACAGCAGACTGCCTATTTTAGTGAGAATTATGCACACAGTTTATCCCGCAGTTCTAGACTAATGCAGCTCTTGTATTCAGCACTTCAAGGCACAGGTTTCCATGCTGTATCTAATTAGTTTAGGGAAATCAAGTGTAAGAATTAACAATGCTGCCCAAGGCTGGAGAGCAGCCACTTGCCCAGCCTAGCTGTGTCCCCTCTCATGGTCAGCATACACCTGGCGAAGCTGCTGCATGCTCTATGGGAAGTCAGAGCTGCACACCATTCCTGCTGCACTCCAAGCTCCCTGAGGTTCGCTGACGCTCAAAGCAGAGGGGAGATCATGTAAACATCTCCTGAAAACTGTGCCACTGAGCCACCAGGAAATTCTGCTTGTTCCAGGAACAGGATCTGGAACCATAAGGTAACCTTGGAGCCTAGCCACAGCATTGCTATTTCATCACAAGCAGCAGGGAGGCCAGGGAAGGCCAGGCAGCTGGTACAAAAGATCACAAAAAAAAGATCTCTCTTCAGGCTTCAGAAAGATACAGGAAGAGTGAAGACAGCACCAGTCTCATGGAACCTCTGAGATCATACTCACACGTAAACAGCCTGTACAGAGCACAGCTCTTGTACAGGCTGGGAATTGAGAGTCAGCACAGGAAGGCAGCTACCCCAGCCTCACAGCCATGCCCTGCTGTCAAAGCATCCCACAGAACATTCAAGCTACTATAGCCCAGACCAGAGGCAGGTGAAATGATTTCTGCCCATGGAGGCATCATCCTTTGTTTTTTTGTGCTGACTTCCAGAGCAACCAAAATTGAAGTCTAGAAATCCAATTCATTTGTATATAATTAAAGAAATCATATGCAAGACTGAAGAGTTGTGGCAATACACTCAGTATTTCCAACAACACTTACATTGGGCTGACCAGAAGCTCAGCATTGGGAAAAGTAAATACGTTACATTCTAAAAGGAACTGCAGAAATCATTCTCCAGCTGTAAACTTGCATCTATTATTCAGGAGTGTTTGTTTTCATTATTGTTTCATTTATTGTAGATTTCTTGACATTCAGCTAACATAAAGCAGGTAACCTGAAGGGTAAGTTAAGTTTACATAAGAGAACAGTAACCTTCTTCCTTAGTCTGCATGAAACTGTAAATATTATGTTACTAAAACTTGTGTGTACTTAGTTTCTCTTTACAAAACAAAGCAGATAAAGCCTATAGAATTGGAAAATGCTTTCCAGCTTGTGTTTGTGATTTCCAAAATAGACTTCTTGTAATTGTTTGCTTGTAATTTCTCTTTAAGATATATGGGAAACTACTAAACTGAATGAGGCATTTCAGATATATTTTATGCATTGAACCTAAGTCTGATAATCTAAAAATAAAAAATAAAAAAATGGTGCCTCACTTCAGGTACTCATACAGATGGAATAATAATAAAAGGAACCTGAAACTTAATTTAAATATTTGTAATGGTTTGTGGATTTCTCCTGTCAACACCTTTACGGAAGAAAAAGGAAAAATATTGTATGCAGGAATACTAAATCACAAACCATCCTAATCTGTGATGGAAAGCAAAACTGGGACTGGCTGAATGGTGTTTCTTATTGGCTTCTGAATCATTGATTCCTTTCAGCACTTTCTATCTAAAACACAATTAAGTTGTTCAATCTTTATCATCATGTTACCTGCCAAGCTTTACATCGCCTGAATTGCACTGCTCTGTTTGGAAAGAATTAAAAATTATGTACTAGGAAGGGTGAAAGTGTTTGATGCTCAGGATTCAGAACAAGAGGCTGTTCTCATTCATTTATCAAAGTATCAAAAACACATCATTGTTCCTTCTGCTGCATGTAAGAATTCTCAAAAAACAGTGGAAGTGTCAAAAAACAAGTGCAGATCATGATTTTTTTGCCCTTGAAATCTGAATTTGCTTGAGAAATTTCATTGCCATGGCATTACCCATGTGGTTGTTCTCATGATCACCAGATTGTTATTAAGACATAAATTGTTATATGGGTGGTGGAGCAGTTTTAGCACCTTTACTTTTTAGGTATCTTGCAGGTACCAAAGTCAACAGGAGATTGTGGCCATGACTCTTCTAAATATTACTCAAAATCAAGTTACTCACATTCACAGCAGATGAAGTCATTGCTCACCAGCAGAGGTACACAGACAGTAACAAACAGACTTTAACAAAGAGCAGATCATCTAGATATAAAATACCAGCTGAGACTTATAGCATTTACTACTGTCCTGATCCTATTGCGCGAGTTGTGAGGAGAATTCTGCAAATCAATTTTAAGAAAAGAGCAGCATGCCTGAAAAATAACCAGAGAGAATAGTGGGCAGCAATAGGAAGTCTCTAGGCAACCTATACTGCAAGCATGCAGTTGGCTGGAGGGGCAGCTATCACAGATTTACTCCCACCGATAATTACAGAGGTGTAATGTGAAACAATAAGAATGTGTTTTTTAATTGTTCATGATTAAAGAAGGAATCCAAGCAGCAGTATAAACAATGAAAGAGAAAAAAAAAAAAAAAGTGCTAACATTGCATTGAAGAAGTGCTATTGCTAAAAGGCCAATAGAGAACAGTTAGATCAAAATTTGTGTTTTCCAGCTATAATTGCACATCTAATAAAAGGCATTATCCTTTTGAAAACTTTGTCTATTCAAATCCTTAGACCGTTAGCACTACCTTCACAACACCATTATGTTCTTATGTATACACATAACAACTTATTATAAAGATCTGTATCAATAAGCAGATTGTTTAAGACATTCCTTAAAGTTCTTAGCATAGTAATGATCGTCACAAGTAAAAGAGGTGCAGTCAGTCTCATTTACTATGAATAATGATTTGTCTTTGTGAATTACAATTTATGGCCACTTCAGAACTTGTGGAATTTTTATTCTTTTTTTTTTTTTTTTTTTTTTTTTTTTTTTTTTTTGAGTCAGAGCTGTAGAAGCTTCCTCTCACCCAGGATACACATAACTATTAAATACCTTTGTTTATTCATATCCAAAACAACAAGAACAGCACCTCAAGTGCAAGTTATTTGCTGTTCATATCCAGCCCAAGGAATGAAAGCAGCACCTTCTTAAACTGCAAACAGGTCCCACTTCTCAATTTATGAATACCTGCACAACCCCCAGAAGCCAAAGCCTTCTGGAAAAGAAGTGAGAGAATTCATAGGAGTGCTGCAGAGGCACATTTGAAAGCCTGACCAGCAGAACCTCTCTCTCTCCGTCTCAGCTTCCACAGCACAATAAGAACAACAGACACAGAGAGGATTTCGCTTCACTCCCAAATCTGTACAGAGAAGGGGGGAAATAGTAAGGGAACTGGAGACCAACTCCTCACTCCACAGCTGCAGCATTTTAAGGGACACTCACCTCTTTGACCTCATTAGCTAAAAAGAAGTGTAAAGGTCAGCATGTAAAAGTCAGTCAGCATGTCCATGTCCTTTAAGATATAATTCTTTTAGGCCTGCTGAATGCAGTTAACAAAAACAAAACAAATACCCCATTTTGAAGATTGCTTTCAGTAGTACCCACTCCAAAAAAAAAAAACCCACACCAAAAAAAAAAAAAAAAACAATGATAAAATTCAACACAAGGACTGAGTTATGTTTGCATGGCAAAACAAGAAATAGTACAGACTGTCATAAGATGCTACATTCTCCAAAACTGAGTATTCCCCCCCCCCAATATTATTATTATTTTTTTTTTTAATGCTCCACTTTATCCTCCTTTCTGACCTGCTCCAGCAGAGCCTAGGACTTTGGAAAGACACAAGAGTTGCTCAGTCCATAATAATGAGGTACAGCCAGCTGATATTTGGAACCACCACTGGGGGAGTGTGGTGCACTCCACTGTGTCACTGTTGATGCTGTATTCGGTAGTACCACAGGTGACTCCTGCCCAGGAGCCAGCGGTGATCATGAACTGCAGAGCAACTATCAAGAGGAAGGATGATGGCTGTTAATACACATGCAACTTAAAAATAAATAAATAAATAAATAAAATCAGCTTAGCAAGGTTGGAAAATGCTGTTGTCAGGAGAAATTAATAAAATAAATCTTGTTGTAAAATATATCTTCCTGGGGTTCTCTTTTCATAGAAAGCTTTATTTTCTGAAAAATGATATTCAGCCTTACAAGATATTTACAACTCTTACGAGCACAACAATTCCTGCTTTCCTTACTGTTTTGATGTTAGAACTTCAACACCTCCAAGTGTATCTTTATCATCAACCCCTGCTACAGTAAAGACTCAAAGGAAAAGGATGTTGGCTCACCTGTTTGCTCAAACCATTCATTACAACATACAGAGATCTTGGCTATATGCAAATTCTAACCGCAGTAAGTAGGAAGCTGGAGATATTTGTCATCGCTAAAATAAAATAATCTTAAAATTAAAGACTCTCATTTTTATATGCAGGTTACTCTAGAAGTAACATCTATTTCATTTATTTCCATAGAAACTATAAGACATGTTAAGAACACAATAACACTATCTGATAGAACAAATTCTCAGCTACAAAATGCTATCTTCAACACAGTCACCACCAGTAGCTACAAATTTTCACTAGGCGTAAACAAGAGTCCACATACTACACAAATGGATGTGACCCCATGTCACCACTGCTAAATGCACCACTCACTGCCTCATTATGCTCATAGCCATTGTTCATTTTTTGTAACAATTAGAAAGATCAACACAATGAAATGGTGATACAAGATAGGTAATGATAAAGGAACTAACCGAATAGAAAGATGCCAGAAGGAAAGGAAAAAAAGGACTACTCACCGATTTCCAAAGATCTAGGCTCACAGAAGAAAACTCCACAAAGGGAACTCCAGAAAGAAATCCTTCCATACTGGCAGTCAGCCCTTAAACGAAATCTAAGAGAAGCACAGACAGGCTCCACCTCTTCCTGTCATACAACTGAATTGCCTTCACCTGCGCTCCCAGAGCTGACTTGGTCTTTTCTCCACATGCTCAATCAGTGGTTCAGGCCATGACTCAAAAATTACCATACAGATTTCCATAAACATTCAGCAAGTACCAAGGATGTCAGTGGGTGCTGTTTTTTCCACATGGAGAAATTCAATGACACACCTTTGCTGCATATACACTTCCATGTCAGACACCATTATGTCAGACTGTCCCACTGCCACCACCTGTCACAGAGCAACAAAGTGTAATAGAATACTAGTGAGAAGATTCAACCTCTGCTGCCATACCAACATCTGCCTCTGATGTCGTGGGCCAACATAATAAAATTGGAGGTATTACTTTTGGAGCAGCCCTTGTAATTTGCTTATTTAGAAACAGCTGAGGTGATTCTATTCTACAGACACAGCAAAGCCAATTAACATGGTCACTAGTTGTTCATTACTCAAACCTATGTCCTCCAATTTACACTACCCATATGCTGAGCTAATTTTGTATGGAACAAGATGCCAGAGAAAGGTGCCAACTCACTAATACATAAAAATTACACATGCTGTAGTGGTTCAGCTGACAGACAGGCCCTGTTCCAGCATGGAGCTCTCGACTATTCTGTCGAAAAATCTGCCCTGCCCATGTAAATCCTTTAAATCTTTTTCCAGGCTAAAATTGGATTTCAGCAATGAGGGGGCAGAAGGAGAAGGATTTTCCATGATAACTGATTCTGGTGGTGACTGTGCAGAACTGAATGGGAGGTATTGCAGAAATTAAAAGAGATCACTCTCTAACAGTTTGACGGGATGTGTGCGTAAACATGCATTTGTCACGGCACTAAGCCTTGGAAGTCTTATTTCCACACCAATCTTCTACTTTGTGCCTCTGACCCAGGACATATAAAACAAGATAGCCATGTGACTAAGCCTAGACAACAGTGTTGCAGTCCTGCTGCTGAGGTTAGGGCCTAAAGGGAAGTCTAAGTCTTTCCAGGAGCTCAGGAGGAAAACATGCTCATATTTTAAGACCCTTGTATGTTGTTTGTCAAGCACAGGGAAAACTGGCCAGTGTGAACTAGAACATGGAGGTTTTCATGGCTGATAAAGAAAGTAACAGTGAGATGTTTTTTGTCAGTAGAAAGGAATCTCTTTCCCCTGCCAAATACCTTGATGGCTTGTAGGCTTCCTTCTATCAAGGAAGGGGATGCAGCATTCACAGGGTGGCCAAGCCCAGCCTAGGTGAGTGTTTATTCTGCCCCAGCAGTACCCAGCCTGCTGTGGGACCAAATGGGGAGCAAGGAGTCTGCTGGTGTTCCACTCTCACCCAGCATAGGGCATGAGGCTGCAACTGCTCCCAGCCTGCCTGCATTCCCAACAGGTTCCAGTCCCTCTTGCCTGCCCTCTATACAGCCCTCCCCGCAGACATGCCAGCACAGCCCAAGGGAAAGTTTGTTTCTGCCTACTACAGCAAAGATAGCCAACAACATTTAAATTTTCAAGGAAAGTAGAATATAGAGAGAAGTTTAAGGAAATAAAAGCTGGATTTTTTTTTTTTTCCCTTTACCTACTGAGGAAGACAAAGTGGTGGTGCAGGGGCTACTTGAACTTCCCACCATGCAATACTGCTCATTACAGAATAAAATCCAGCAGGGAACACCAATCAAGCAGAGTATTCGAGAGGCAGAAGCACCATCAGCACCCAAACAACAACTCACAGGGATGAGCCCAGGACTCTGCCAGGGCTGGAATTCAGGTGCACAGCCTCCTTCATCTTCATTATCATATAACACAACCACACTCGGTTGTAAAAGGAAGGTCCTCCTGCCGAGACAGATAGCAGATGCAAACATAACTGTTTACAGAAATTAGCAAGGCAAATAGATCAGCAGAATCTTATAGGCCTGTGACCGCTATTATATTTGGCTGTGGCAGCTTTCCTGGTGGATAGCAAGTAAGTGAAGGGAGGAAAAAAATCTACTGCACCTTCCCTGTCAGTGAGCCATGTGCAACCCATACAGTAAATAGCTGAACTAATTCACAGCTGTCACATTTAAAAATGCCACTGAAGTGCAGAAAAGAACGCAGAAATTCAGAGCCGTGCATTGTCCCCGATCTGCAAGAATAATACTCCCAATCTTTGGTCCTCTTCTGGCAAAGGTTGCTGGGCTAATATGGCTGATACGTGTAACGCAGAAAGCCAACTGTCATAGCAGATGAAATGCATGTTTTCTTCCCAGCCTTGTAATGCAAATCAGTATGTTCTGTAGAAAACTGACAATTTCAAGTTTCCTTTTTATATCCAAACGAAAAGGTGCTGGTTCTCGTGATTTGCAGTCATATTCTCTTTATGCACAGGACAGTGAGGGCAGCTAGCTACATCGTAAGTCTTGCTCATTCACCTAGCACACTGCACACCAGACCTAGAGCATGTGGGAAGAGATTGTCCCTTTCCACATCAGACAAGGTGCCTACAGCAGCTCCAACATTCAGCTGTGTCTGCTAGGAGCAAGCTGAAAGCAACAAACTTTTACACACATGTTGCTGAGCAAATTGACAAAAAAAAAAATTCAAAAAAATCTGTTTGTTGCTAATTGCAACAAACTAATTGGAAAGTGATAGAACTCTACTAAAATAAAATAAAATAAAATAATAATAAAAAAAAAGTATTTTTGCATCTTATATCCTTGTTAAAATGCAAATATAACCTGCTTTTATACACACATGAAAATGTTGCATATATCTTGTATCCGATACGGGAATCTCACAGTTGCAGAACACCTATTTAAGAATACAGGAGTTTAAGAGCCTGCTGAAACCTTTTAAAAACATCACATACAACTCTTTGAAGCTTCAATCCCAGAGCCCTTCCTGAGAATAATGGTGAAGTTAAATCAATTTTACTTTGGGATTACTCTGCCCCTCCAAGTCTTCCCTTGGTCAGAAGTAATTTATTGGAAGATTACCTCCATTAGAAACAATTCTCCATCCTCCTTGAATGCATTTCCTTCCAAAGAGTTTATGCTAGACTTTGAGAAGCTAGCTAATCAAAAGGACATTTGAATTAATTTCTCTAATGTTCTTCAGAAAGTGCTGCCATTGCAGTCAGTCTTCTAAGGTGTATGGAGAGTCATCCATTCCATTATTCCACTATTTATTACAGATACAAATTCATTCTTCACCAAAGTTTTGCACATCATATTGCTTTTAATAATGTCTGTGAAGTTTGAATGGTAGGTGAGCTGTCTCATAAACAGCAACTGCTTTGAGTTTGTGTATTAAACTGATTTACAGTGGAGTGGCTGGAGTTCTCTTCTGCATAGCTATATAGGATAGTAAATATTACAATACGGGAAAGTATTTGTAAAGTATGCTAACACAGCGGGCCAATGATGTTTTTACTAGCTCAGAAAACAGATCAATCTGGCCTTGTCAGAGCAGAGTAAAACGTGATTCTTCCAGTAGTAATACATGAAATCTCTGTTAGCCTATGATATAGAGTAAACAGAAAGAGTTTAAATACCAAGCTTTCTGTGCCAAGAAAATTGTTTCACAGAATATATAATTTAATCATATAAAAGGGTGGAGACATCTTTATCTATTTCAGTTACATCTATTTCATACTCAAGAACAATAAAAAGTTAATAGAGTCCTTGGCCTGGGGGGAAGAAAAACAAGGAAATGTTTGCAGTCTTCCTTTATATATTATTAAGCACATACAGAGTGATTGTCTATTTCTAGGCACTCCATGTGCCCTACTGCTGTTCTGCAGTCTGCTCTCCGGGCTGTACTGCCTCTGCTAGCTGGAGAGTTCCAGCACACTGTGCAGAGGGGACCTGTTCTGCCCAACAGGAATGAGCTCCCAGCCACCTGCCAAACCCAGAGCTTCCAACAAATCCTGGCTCCAACAAAAACTCCCAGACAATTCAAACTCTGCATCAGCCAAGAAAATAAAATGCTAACTAAAATACTGTGATAGTAAACAGACTGGATTTAGCTTCATTGTTTAAAAAAGAAAAAAAGAAAGAAAAATAGAAAAAAAGCAAATAAATAAATAAATAAATAAATAAATAAATAATTTAAAAAATAGGAGCAGATATAGAAAAGATGATACAGAATGTAACTTCATATTTCCCACACAGAGGTAGAGATGGGTTCAATCAACTATGCACTGAAATAAGGAGCAATAGAACTGAGGATTTCCTCCTTACTTACATTTATTTTACTATTCTATGGTATAAGAAGTATCAGCATAGCATCTCTGGCATTTCAGATGCATGTTCTACCTGCCCTCCTCTCTCCCCACCCTCCAAATATGCTGTCATTTCCAAAAGGAAAAATTTTGTTTAATGAGTTCTTCCTGCCAAAAAATAGTCTAGCAAGCAGCAGAATGAAAATAAGTTACATTATATGGAGCCCTTAACTACAATCCTTCTGCACAAAAATATCCAATTAGTAGCAAGAGTTGCTAGCTTCTGAGTCATTAATGAATACTTCTGTGTGCTGAATATTCATATCTTTTTGTTTATGACATTGCCTCCAAGCTTGACCCCTTGTCAACACATCAGAAGGATGAAAGCTTTAAATGAGGTATTAACAAATTCTTAAATAGCTTTTTTTAAACAGCTTGGAAAAACTATCGAACCATGACTGTTTGGTCAGAGACAAATATTGAAATTCCAACACATCATTTACTTGGCCCTTCAGTAGCTGAACATATGAATGCCACCTGTTTCACCATATATAATATTCCCTTATGAGAATGCAGAAATTATTGGTTATACAGGTCCTTGGCAAGTAGTGAACTCTGTGGGCACAAGAAAGCTGCCCACATGGAGACCAGCAGGTACAGAGCATAAAAAAGCCAAATTCCTTCTGTAAGGCTGCAGCAAGAGGAATTTGCTTTTAATTCACTTCAATT